AAAAAAAAAAAAAAAAAAAAAAAGAAAAGAAAAGGAACGAAGCGCACTTGGCTGAAAATATAGTTTCGCGGGCATGAATGTCGTGTAATAAAATGTTTCACATGCGCCGCACGTGAGGTATAACCAGCGTGAAATTTACATATCACTGGCTCGAATCACATAAAGAGCCGGGCAAGATGATGCAGAATGAGAAAGTTGTAGGAATTGTCTCGATTCGTTTGGCGTCGTTCAAGTGGAAACGCTTCGCTCGGCGTGTAAAAATTAATTTCAACGAAAGAAGTTGGACTGCGGTGTTCAGTAGAATGTGAAAGCACGAATTTGTTCCATTCACATTTAATTTCGTCTAATCAAGCCTAAGAAAATAATTTCCACTGATGAAGCTTCTTCTCTTTCTAAAACCTCCATCTTCTTTTTCATGTTGTTGCTGCATGCTGGCAAAAGTGAAACGAAAGAACATTGTTTAGCTTATCGAGACTCTGGAAAGTCCAGTTTAATGATATACCGGAGCAGGCTTGAAATTACTCGCGAGTTAAAAGTCATGCAACCTAATTTACTCGCTTTCGGCGTTAATAATAGAACAGCACGTAAATCCACCTGACGGCGCGGATAAGCGGGAATCCCTGGTTTTGTTATTTTCGACATATATAACTGTGTTTCCCCTTCGCGAATAAATTTGCAGCCCGCCGCTTCGCATCGCACGTTTTACTTTAATAGAAAGCAGAATGTAATCACGACAGAAATTCTTCGTTATTCTGTACAACCAGTTGATTTGCTTGTCTTTCAGCGGCTGTTATACCTGCATTTACGCTAGAGAGAGAGAAGAAAAGGAATAGCTGTATGTACACCTGTATGTACAAATTAAGTATAGTTATCGCATCGCATCGCATCGCATCGCTACTTGCCACCGTTGCAAACGACGTTAAACAGAGCCGAGTGCGTGCAAAGGAGAAAAGACGAGTAGTATGTCGGACTTTCTGGAGTTTCTCTCTCGCTTCATCCGC